CAAGAGGTGGCTGCCGGCCCTGATCTTCCCTCAGGAGCAGGGGGAGGTGGAGAAGCCCGCGGTCTCCTGTGGCTGTGGCTGGCCGGGCAAAGCTGGCCTAGGTCCTGGGTGCCTGCGGCTGGCCAGAGGAGGGAACCCTGGGTCCCAGGTGTGGGGTGAGGCAGAGGCGGTTAGGGGCAATCAGGACAGCAGGGGAGCAGTTAGGGGCAATCAGGCAGGCAGGCAGAGGGGTTGGGGCGATCAGGCAGGCAGGCAGGTGAGTGGTTAGGAGCTAGCGGTCCCGGATTCGAGAGGCAGTTGGACATCCTCCGAGGGGTCCCGGATTGGAGAGGGTGCAGGCCGGGCTGAGGTAACCCCCCTCCGTGCACAAATTTCGTGCACCAGGCCTCTGGTATCTATTCATCTGTTGCTGGGCACTTAGGTTACTTCAATGAATACAGGGGTACATACTGTATAACTTTTTGAATTAGTGTTTTTATATTCTTTGGATAAATACCTATAAAAAGTGTATCTTTTAAAAATACAATTCTGAACTTGTTACTTTTCTGTGTGAAACGAGTAAGTGGCTTTTTTGACAGTGTAAACCCCATATTCTTTAGCATGGCATATGAGACTCTTTTCGAGGTGGCTGCTTCCCCTTTCCCACTGACTCTTCTCTGATTTTTCCCCCTCTTTCCCCAACATCAGTGTTAGTCATGGTGAACTGGCTTGCCAGGCTGCTCCACTCCTCTGCATTGCTAGTTATGTGCTTATCTTCCTCGATCTTTCAGTAGCATCTCACCATCTCACACCATTGCACATTCCCTCTATTTTGCACACCTTCTTTCCTTGATTTCCAAGACATTCCTTCTGGAACTTCCTCTCCCTTTCTGGTATTTCATTTTTTATTTTTATTTTTGCTGGCCACTCCTCTTCTACTCAGCCTTTGCATGCCAGGCTTTCTTGAGGCTCAGTCTTAGGCTCTATTTTCCCTCTTACAGTTACTCTATATTTAATTCTGCTCTACATACCAGTGGTTTACTATAAGAACTTTTATATTTAGCAAAAATATATACAGATCATTTACAGTATAGTTAATATACATTTTCTCATAGCTGATTGGTTACATAGTACTAGTAGAATAAGGGTATCTGTCTACAGTTTCAGCTAAGGAGAACTACCATAGTTTGTCCCAAGCACTGGGTTTTAGACAGTGGAAGCTAGTCCCACGACTCTGCCCCTGTGTGCTTTCTTTAGCCTGAGCGAGTGCTATTCTCCACTGTCTCTCTGGTCCCTCATTCTGCTATTGTATAAAATGATTAGGTTTTAGCAGCTGCCTCCCCCATAAAAAAGTAGATCTTTTCAGTTCATCAGGTAGCATTTGTCATGTCTATACACCTTACTAAATTAAATGGAGCAACTAGGTAGAAATTAGGGCAAGCTTTGATTTTTCATTTAGAAGAAAAATTTTCTTCTGGGAAATAAATTGGAATTATTAGACGAGACTCTCTATAGTGTTTATTATAGTCCAGGTCCTTGACAGGAAATTATTTTGAATAAAGTAAAGAATATTTTTAAAGGAAAGAATTGTTGAGTGATCTAGATGTAAACTTTTCAGTGATGAAAGATGTGCTGTGTGCTCATTAGAATTGCTCCATTGGATAGCTCACTCTTCCTGCTATTTCCTGACATTGCATTTCTGGTACTCAGGAGACTCAATCTTTGATAATTGTGAAGGGTTAATGCAGGAGTCTGATGGGGCCACTACATCAGTACTGAAGAAGTGGTACATGAAGTAATGACATTGCCAGAACTAAATAGAAAGCATTAGCATGGAGAAGAAAAGTTAACCCTTAATATATTTAATTTTTAAAATGAGATAACAATAACATTGCAACAGGCATTTTACATAATTGAGTAATAAGTAAGATAGCTTCATTTGCATTGTATTGTTCCTAATCTGAAGAAATAGGGATCTGCCCCTTTAATGAAACACTGTTTACCTATCTCTTCTAGTAGGCGTGGCTTAGGAACCTGTAGAGTGAGGTATAACTTCCAATTCTGCATTCTGACCTGCCACTTGGAAAGAATGCTCATACTACAAACCAGGAAGTGACAAATAATGTGCTTTAAACGACAATACAACTTGTCTTTTTAAGGAAAAGCTTCTCATAACAAAGCTAGAAGATGGAGGCAGTGATTTTACATGGTTGTCATTAAATATTTGGAACTCTGCTGTGGGAGAAAGACTTTGCAGTGTACTTAGAATACAAAGCTTTCTGGTCCAGAAATTGATCTCCTGACTTTTGAGCCTTATCTGGTTACTGCTTGGTTCATGTTATTTTGTTAAAGTACTTACTCTGCAGCTGAACCGGGAGACTCTCCGTTGTTTGCAGGTAGGTGGTCAGCCTTTGTTTAAAATTGAGGTTGTGTTTTAAGGTTACTCAACCCTGATTCTGCTGCTGATTAATGAAATAACCATGACTCTCGGTAGGAAGTATGTCTGAATGTTTGAATGTCCAGCATGGCTTTCAATCACCATATTTTTGTGACTTATGGTCAACTTTGAAGAAAATGTCATTTTTAACAAATTAGCAAGTCTATAAGCTGGTGAGTTGTGAGTTCTGTTTTGTTTTCCATTAACCTTATATATATATATATTTTTAAAATTAATAGATTAAAAATATATTGAAATTACAAATTACCCTGCTATTAACTTCCTGATAGTATTTGATAATATATTTAAATCATTTATTTATGTAGTCAAATAAAATTGAATTTTTGTTGTTAACATTTTACTTATAAGTTTTATTACTTTCACTCTTAGGGAGCTGAATATTTATCATTTGTTTATCTACTTGCTTTAATCTCTTTTGGTGTCATTTAATATCTATTATTTCAGAAGAGTTTTTATAAGAGGTTAATATTCCACAAGTACTATATTGAAATATTGCTTGTTTCTCTTTATAATGTTAACCATCTCTTTATGACACCAAAAGTATTTCAAAGATAATGTCTTTAGAAGAGTGGGCTAATTTTTAATATGAACTAACTGCTGTTGCGAAAAAAAAGTAAAAAAATGGCTCTTCTGGAGTGGAAGTAAAAAAAAAAATGTGTGGGGTACTTTTAGGATCAAGGACAGTGGTTCCTTAAATTTCTCTACCACCAGTTATCCTTTTAATTTTTTTCTATGGACACTATACTTCAAAAGACTTTTTGTTCACCAAATAAATGGTGTATATTAAATAATAAAATGTTAGAACATTATTCTTTATTATACATTATACATTATTTCCGATGAGAGTTTATTATGTCTGACATAACCACTTTAGGTTAATGTAATTCAGCCCCAAACAAAGAGGCCTGACATTTTACTTAGCTTGAATAATTTCATTGTAGGTAACCGTTTGGATATTTTTGACTTTTGAAATATTGATAATATTTTCTGAATTTTCATCAACTACTCTTGTGGAATCCTAGTAGTCTGGGCACGGCAAATTGGGAACTATCGGTCTAAAGTGCAGAAATATTGTTCTTAATTTCTTTGAGGTTCCACGAAATGTAATGAAGGTTATCAAGTGTAATGTAACAAACAAAGATACCATAGCTTCTAGACAGAGAGAAGAAACAAGGAGAAAGAAAAAAAAAAAGCAAGTGGTATTTGTCATAGGGAATATCTGGGAGGAATTCAAGGCATCTGTATGTTTTGGCCCCATTAAAATTATACTTATTCCTACTTTTCCCAACTTAAAATTTTTACTCCACTTGGGCTGATAAACTATTAACTGATATTACTTTGGTTCTTCATGTATGTTATATATTTGTATGTTGGTTTTCCTTGCCAAGAGTTTTCTCATTTCTCCATTTTCTCTCTTCATGTTGTTTTCTCAGCTCAGCTGAAGACCCTTCTCTTGTCTGAGCACCCAACCCATGTAGTATTTACTACAGTGTTAAGTACATATTAATATTACTAGAGGCCTGATGGGCAAAATTCGTGCAAGAGTAGGCCTTCCTTCCCCCGGCTGCCAGCACCGGCTTCCCTCTGGCACCTGGGACCCGGGCTTCCCTCGCAGCTCCGGCTTGTCCGGTCTAATTAGCCTATTACACTTTTATTATTATAGATTGTTTGTCATATTTAATTTACTTTAAAGTCTTCTGTGTTTCTTCAACTATACCGTAAGTTGTTTGAGAGCATTTTATCCTCCTTAGCATCTAGTCCAGGGGTACACATTTGATAATTTCTAAGTAATTACCCGTTGAATGGATGAGAGAAAGAATCTTGCCAACAGTTGCTTCAAGTATTATGCTGCCTCCTTCTCCCTTGCTTAATCATGTGATTACCATCAGTAATGTTTCTAGAAATGAGACCATTGGTTATCACACTGTTATTGTTTTCGTCTTATTGTGTAATGTGAGTTTTTTGTATTAGATGATTTTAACACTGATATGTGTTAAAGAAAGAATGAGCTGGGCTTTATTATAAATAAATCAAACAAAGTATTCTTAATTCCAACCTATTGCATTTTGTGTTTTAGGAAGATATAATTTAAAGTCTACTGCTATGTAAGGTTTTTAAAGTGGTTGAAATATTCGGATATATTATGGGTTAAGAGGATGGGTTCTGTTCGATGATTAGAACTCTGAATGGTGATCCAGGGTCATGGTAGACTGGTTGGATTGCAGAATTTAAACTGCAGGTTAGTAATTGCCAGAAACCATGAACACATTGTTTTCTAAAAAGAAAATTTCAAACATCTTTCCATTTACAGTAGTTATTGTATTACATACTTTAAAATTGTTACTTTATTTATTCCCAGTATCTCCTCTGCCAGATAAATTCTGTTAACCCATATTTTTTTATAGAAACAGAAAACTGACATCTATAAAGGTCAAAAACTACCAAAGTCATACATCTAGTAGCTGCACATCAGGTTGTTTTGACTTCAGAATTCATGTTTGAATTACTATATTACACTATCTTACATTTTCCGATATGCAGTATAATTTTTCTGTCCTTTTAGAGCTTGACCAGACAGGAATTCTGGCAGCTGCTCCAGCAGAACTATGGAGCTGAGCTAGGCTTAAATGCTGAAGAGATGGAAAACTTGTCCGTGTCGATTGAGGATAATGTGCAGCCAAGGTACAGCAATGTTTTGAAATGTCAAGATTTCTTAATCATTAATCAAAGCGGAATTATTTTAAACTTTACTAATTCAGAATTTCTGTTTACTCGCCCTGGGTGAAATTTGCCTTTGTTCTCTAGTAGAATAGAATGAGTGGTGAGGACAGTGAATAGTTTACTGAATTGGTAAGCAAACACAAAACATACAAGGAAATATGTCTTTGTAACTGGATTTGCTTAAAGTATGATTTTAGTAAACTTTTTTATTAAGAATCTGGAGAAGTACTTAGTGAAATCTCTGTGCTTCTAGGTAACAGGAAAGTAAATTAACTGGTAGGTACTTTGCGGGATACAAAGATAACCACAACTTTTCCTCAAGGATAACCTAGCATAAAAAAAAAGGATAACCTAGCATAGTGCTTGAGATGTAGTTGGCACTCAACAAATATAGAATGCATTAAGTAGGGGAGCTTACAGTACTGTGGGGAATGCAAATAATTATAACACAAGGTTGAAAATGATAAGGGCCAAGAGGAGTAATAGATCATGTGATAAAGAAATTCAGAGTAGAGAGAGATTATTTTTGACTGATGGGAATTCATTTGGAAGAGTGGGCATTTTTATTAACCTGTAGAAGTAAAAATGCATTTTGTGTAATGATAATTGAGGTCATAGCAATAAAAACAACTGAGTATAATACATTAAAATTCTAAAGCAAACATTATGCTAAGTGAAAGAAACCAGTCGCAAATGACCATACTGTATGATTCCATTTATATGAAATTGAGCCTAGAATAATTAAATCCATAGAGACAGAAAGTAGATTAGTAGTTGCCAGGGGCCGGGAGGAAGGGAAAATGGGAGTGACTCTGATGGGTACAAGGTTTCTTTTTGGGGTGATGAAAATGCTCTAAAATTAGATAGTGGTGATGGCTGCACAACCCTGTAAACCACTGTATTGTGTGATTTTAAATATGGTACATTTTATGGTAAGTGAATTACAACAATAAAACTGTTATTTTAAAAATTCTATAGCAAATAAATCTTAAAATGGAAATCTTTCCAAAGCCTTGATTTTCACTCCATCTAGGGTTCTAGTCATGCTGATCCTATTTATAGGGTTTCAGTTAAGCATAATTATTTTACAGTCTTTTTTTACATGGTTACACATGCATGTTTTATTAGTTTTCTGTAATGTTAAATTTTTTTTTTTTTTTTGCTCCAGTTAATGTGTCCCATTGACTCAGTGTTCCAGAGACCCAAAAACTATAATTTAGGTAACATGCTTAAGTCTGACCAGGTTCCTCATTCTGGACCCGAGGGCTCTAGATAATGTGTTTCTGTCAATTCAGTGATCCAGAGACCCAAAACTGTAATTTAGATAACATGCTGCTTCTGCTTCTGTAAACTGCTTTTTGCAAATCAGGTTCCTCATTCCAAACCTTGGGATGTAATCAATACCTTTGTGATCTTTGCCTATATAAGTCTGGTTTTTCGACCATCTTACTACTATGAGATTTGGGGAATGGCCCCTCATAGTCCCGGATTGCAATAAATGTGACTCTTTAATTAGAAAAAAAAATTTTTTTTCGATTGTACTGCTCTCTTTGTCAAGTTTATTAGCTTCTTTCAGTTACTGGAGTTGGGTAGAAAAGCAATTGATAACAATGGAAAGAGCCTTGGATGGTGGTAAAGAAGATCTGGATCCTACTCTGGACTCTGCCACCAAGTAGCTGAGCAACCTCAAGCAAATCACTTAGCTTTTCTGATCCTCAGTTTTTTCATCTGTGAAGTGGGGCAGTTAAACTAGATGATCTCCAAGGTCCCTGACAACTCAAAACATTTATGGTCTTTGAAGAAAGAAAGAATAAATAATTTTTGACCAGCTGCTATATACACTCTAAGGTGCAAGTTCTTGAAGTCAGCAGAAAAGTTGCTGTTTTCTTGGTGATTGAGTGCTTTCTAAGAAAGATGTGGCAGGATCCTCATTCCCTTTTCTGCTCCTTTTCCCATTCTTCCAGTCTCTGAAAGAAGCATATCTGTCTCAAATGTTTATTTCCTCAGCTTTTCCATCTTCTTTCTCTTCATTTTCAACCTCTCCTTCACTCTCTGTTCTCCTTTTTTCTATATTTCACAACTCAACTCCATTCTTAAAATCCTGAAGTTCAGACACTCAGGTGGTGGACTAATCTCAAGGAGCCATTTTTTCTTGCTCAGTTCCCTTAGAGCCCGGCCATTCTGCGGGGCCAAAAGTGAGTTGGTAGCAGACCTCAGTGTTATTTGGATGGAGGAGAATAGAGTTTAAAGGCCCTTTGGTGTTCCTGTTCCTTCCTCAGGATAATATGGCTTCACATGTCAGGCTGTTTATTTTAGAAGAGCTTTAAGTCTATACAATGATTACACGGGAGTAATAATTTCTCAGGAAGGTTGAGTGCTGGAGATTAGATCCGTTGTGTGCCTTTTGTATTAATAGACTTCCCTTTCTCTTGGCTCCCTGAGAGAGGAAAAGCAGGTCCCAGGACATTTAGTGTAGTCTTGTCCCGGTGACCATTTGAAAGCTGCTCCTTAAACCTTGTTCTTAGGAATAAGACGAGCAAGAAGGGGATATGGACTGATTAATGGGCTCTGGGCTCAGACCTAAGGAGCTTCCACTGCTGGGGAGGATCCACCATCTCAGGGACTGAGTCAGAAGGAAGGATATCAAACTGCCTCTGGTGCTGACTGGCATCCACCGTGTACCTTTTGGAGCTTTGTGGTTGTTCACAACTGACATGCAAACAAGCAATAATTATTTTATTGCTGTTACGGCCACCTATACTTGGTTAATTTTTTGATGGTTTCTGAAATTTATAAAATCTCACGTGAGCATTATCTTATTTTCAGATATAAAGCCAATTTGCATGTGATTTAAGAAGATAGCTGTGTTATAAATAGAGGCTTATTTGTTACATTACAAAAAACCATTCTTTTCAAAGTGCTTTATAATAGAAAAGGCCCTCAGAGAGGAGCCAAAAAAACATATCTGTGTGGCAGTGACCTTGTGTATATTTCCATAATGATGTATGTGTTTCTTACAGAAGTCCTGAAAGAAGCAACTTGGATGACTGTGGGGAAAGAGATGAAAAATTATCCAAGTCAATCAGTTTTATCTCTGAATCAATTAATCGGGCTTCAGAAACAGAGTCAATCGATGGAACTCTATCAAAAGCGGTTAGTGTGTGATACCCCTTTAAAAATATATTTGATGCTGCCATGTGTTAATCATGATATAAGGTAAAATGAAAATACAGTACACAAAATATTTAAAACTTAAGATGTCAGGTTGCTTCTTTGTTTTAGGAGTGTTAAGTTTGTCAGTAGCGGAGGTTGTATACATACGTGGTTCTGTTCAGAGCTAGATATGGTGCAGAGCTATCAGACAGAGCACCAGTCTAAGAGGGGGTAGACATCACTAAAAATATAATAAGATGGCCAGGCCAGTGTAGCTCAGTGGTTGAGTGTTGACCCATGCACCACGAGGTCATTATTTGATTCCTGGTCAGGGCACTTGCCCAGATTGCAGGCTTGATCTCCAGTGGAGGGTGTGTAGGAGGCAGCCAATCAATGATTCTCTGTCATCATTGATGTTTCTGTCTCTCTCTCCCTCTCTTTTCCTCTCTGAAATCAACGGAAATATACTTAAAAAATATAATAAGATGGAGCAAGTCATAGCAGAATTTTCCCCAGAATAGGTAGTGTGTGTGGTAGTCTGTTCTGAAGGGGGATGAGAGCCCTGAGCAGCATGCTTGCATAACAGGAGACGCTTCTTAAGCTGACTGCTAAAGCAGGCACATCCAGCTAACCACTGGCTTTTGAGTTAGTTAGTTCCTTCCTTAATTTTTTTCAAGCATCGTTATAAGCCCATTGATTTTTCCATGAGCTTCTATCATTTGGAGTCATTATTACTTTCAATACTCGGTTCATCCCTTCTGAGTCCCTTCAGATTGGCTCCTTTGTCCTTTTTAAAGGATGGATGATTTCTGATGGCTTCCTTTCTTTCTGGTACAAGAACATGTCCCAGGCACATTCTGTATAATTTTGGTCCCAGACTTAATATTAGCCATTTTCCTAATGTGCTATATAGTTCTTAGTGAAGAATGGTGTTGAGAGACCACATTCTGAGTGCTAAGATTGTGCCTACCCTAGAGCTTTTATTCTGATTGGAACTGCAAGTTCGGGCCTAAAGCGGAATTGCTTGGTTTGGACCAGAGCATTGGCTGCAAATCCTACCTCTGCCGTTTGCTGTATGACTTTAAATAAGTTAACTTAATTACTTAACCTTCCTCTGCTTTTGTTTTCTCAACTTCTTGATGATGAGGACAATGACATCCCATGGGGCTATTTTATAAGGATTGAATGAGTTACTATATGGGAAAGTGCTTTGAGCAGTCCCTGGCACACATTAAGTGTTCAGTAACCACAAGGTGGGATAATTGAAGGCGAATCTGTGTGTGGCCAGCAATGGACCTTTTCTACCTTCTCCCATGGAACTCCCAGCATCTCCTGTGAATAAATGTTAGGAAAACATTGAAATAGACTGTACTTATGTGAAAGACCACCAAGGCATCAGCTAGTTTCAGGCACCTGTCATGCATCTCTCTTGGTCTGATTTTGTGTTGAGGGTTTCTTGCAAAACTGACCCATCTGGAGTCCCCGAGAAACTTCCTACTGGTACAAGCAAGGGCTTCTGGATGCTGCTTTCTCTGTGTGTTTTCACTGAGAAGACCAAACCACTCAATTTTCGGGAGGTAACAGGACAGGGGATCTCTTGGAGTCTCCTCATCCTTTTACAAAAGTCTGACTTTGAGGACTGGGTTCTCAGAACTACCAATCTTACTTGAGTCTTTCCTACTGCCCCCTTTATAAGCTGTAGCTGCTCTTGGAAGAGTTAACCCCTTGGTTCTTCTAGTTTTATCCCTAAAGGAAGTCATATTTTCTCTAGTGAAAAGGAATGGAATGCAGAGGAATAATTTAATGTTTTAAGATTGATCATACATTCATTGATGTTATTTAGATGTTTTCAGGTTGTGGAATACAAGTAATATAGAAGCTTAGTGCTTTTTTTTACCTTTTGCATTCAAGAGCAGTATTGTGAGATTCTCAGATTTCAACAAATATCATGTCACTTTATTTCATTTTTACTGCCAACAAAATTAGAAGTAACAAAAAGTCAGAAATAACATTTTTCCAAGATGCTGTAAAAATTCAGGAAATTAGAAAAGTATATAAAGAAATAAATTGTCCAGATGCCAACTTCTCAAAAATAGTGACTATTACTTTTCCTACAAATATCTATTTATCCTATCTAATAAAAGAGAAACATGGTAATTAGCATACTACCGCTACCCTTCCCATTGGCTAATCAGGGCAATATGCAAATTAACTGCCAGCCAAGATGGCGGCCGGCAGCCAGGCAGCTGGAAGCGAACATGAGGCTTGCTT